CCATCTGTCCCTATTGACATATATGGGTCAAAGGTGTTTAAGCCCATTTGACTTTTTCATAGTTGACTACTTTCTCTGAAGTCAGCCAGTCGTTCCTGGATACTTTTCGAAGTCTAGGCTCATTCCATGTTCACAAAGTCTGATCAACTATCTTTGAGCCGGGAAAGTGGGTTCTTAGGAGTTCCCTAGCCGTCTCTTCCTCCGTCTTTGTGTATTCACCAAGGTTGTTCTTGAGTTATTTGATTGTTGTTTTCGGGCCCCTTGACAGAGTTCTTTGTAGTCTAGCACGATCTTGAGTACTTTCTATATCTTCACAGTACTTCCGCTAAGACCTATCTCTGAGATCCCCTCAGCTCTTTCTCGAACTTTTACAACATGGTTCTGTATATCATATATCTACCACTGCCCGGTTCTCACGGCTTTATTGAATTCTGTTCTAGTTTTTTTCCTTAAATTTGCGAGGCTCTTGTTCCACCAGGGCACTTTCCTGTTGTAAGTGGGCAATTTTCATTGAAGGTTGAAATGATTACATCATTGAATTTATCCACAACCATTTCAAAGTCTTCAGTGTCTCTAATTATCTTCCTGATGTTCGGCAGACTGTACTCCAGGTCAGCTTTGTATGCGTCCCAGTCTGTATTTCGAAGGTTCCGATAATTTGCTGAAGTTGTTTCCCTTGACATTTCAAATTTGATGTATCGTGTGGTGAGTGTTCGCATAACACCCGATGAGCAGTTGTGTCCCATTCGTCCTACAATGTCTCACCAGGTCCTCCACACTTCTGGTTGGTGTTGATTCAGGTTCATCGTAGGGTAAGTGGGCCGATCCGATAATAATATCCCTCGGCCTATTGCCCCCGATGAGCCTGATTCTGGCTGCCATCAAACCCCTAGAACAAAAAAGAGTTAGGGGCAGTACATTGACGTTCTTTTTAATGTATATACAGGTCCGAAGAATGACAGTGGATCTGCTGTAGATCAGCTCTCCATTGGCTCTGCTCAGTCCTTAACTTCCCCATAGCAGCGGAAAGGACCGCTGAGGCTGCCTTACTGTGCTGGAGGTTGATCCGAATTACCTTAATCGCCATCCTTTCTCTTTCCGATGGCCCTGAAGGTCACGCATCCCAGTTTATACTATCCTTTAAACTAGGCTCTCTCCAGGGTCTTGGACGAGTTTTCATCCATAGAGAAGGCTAGGAGCTGTCCTGCCTTCTCTATTTTCCAGCTCAGCAGGAGCCATTCTCCCATGTTTAGGCCTGGATTTTGTATCCCAAGACGGATTTTGATGACTTCTACTCAGGTCGCTTCTGACTCTGGCACGAAAACGAGGAACCTTGGCCTTGCTGGGAGTTCTTCACCCTCCCAGAGTTGGCCAAGGGGTTCGATGCTTCTCCTGAGCCAGTCTGCTGTCTGCTCGTTAGCGCAGGATTCCCGCGCTGAATGATGTCTTGTTGAACTGCGGTGGGTTGTTGCTACTCGAGGGAGTAGCAAACATTGCCTCCACTAGAGCGTTTTGGATAAGGTCGGCTTGGCTCTGATCTAGTGTAGTGTCGGGGTGGCGTCCGTGAATTACTGCCAGCCCAATTCCTTTAGCCGTGTCGCTATAGAAGCCAGTCTGTGATGGAATAGTTCTGGGATTCTTAGCTCGGGTGTCTTTTTTCGGCGTTTGAGACTGATCGAGGTCTTTCAGTGCTCTCGGTCTTTCTCGCCGTCGCCTTATTCTTTATTTGAGGTTTGGCTGGTCCATGTCCCTGAAGCCACCTTCCTCGCCTTTGTGAGCCTTCTTCTCTCGGCCCCAAAGATTCTTCCGCTCTTGAGTCCGATATTTTTGATATTTTCAACTAGTGAATCAGCGTCTTTGGTTTTATCCTCTGAGGTTGTTGGAACGTAGTCTTTGGTTAGTTCTCCGTGCATTGGGCTATCAGAGTGTGCTACTGGAGCTTCTCTGATAGTAGGGTCCTAGTCAGAACCTAACTCCTCCCTTTCTTCGGTTTGTTTTTGTTTTTTTTTTCTGTATCCATTTTGTTCTCACGTGATGGGGAAGGGTGTGACACTCCTACGGAGCCCCTACGCAGAAGTAATGTTAAATACTCTGGGATTTCGCCTGGTTTCCCAGAGGCTCCGTTTGCAACTGTGTAACCCCCACCGCAATGCGGCACGGATTGCTTAACACCTTGGATGGGGTCTGTCTTGAGTCAACATCTTCAAAAGTCTTAAATTTAACCTAACAAACAGAATCGACTTGTTGAACTAACTGTAATTTCAGGCATCTGATAAACCCAACAAAGGCATCTGATTTTGACTATTAACTACAACAAATGGTAAATATGTCAACTTGTTATTGATAGTACACAATAGTAAGACTTCTCCAATAGGTTTAATTCTAAAATCAGATCAGGGCTGCATAAGGAAATTAAAGTTATTCGAGACTGTTTGATGGTATTTTTAATGCCAACTGTCTCCAGCTTAAATTCAATAATTGTACCTTCCACATCTTTTTTCTTGGTCCACATATTATCAGCTTTCAACGTCACCCCATCAACACTCTTCACTAACGAACTTATAAAAATCATCAGAGTCGCTATTACTTTGATCATTTTCACTCAATTCTTGTGTTGACACATCACTTCTGTTTGAACCATTGCTGAGTCTGCTAGCATTTACAGAGGCTTCATTTGCCAGAGCCTGAGCTGTATTGATTTATCTGATAATGCTAAAACTATTCGGTCTCTTACCAGGTCATCTGGTTGGGACCTGGTATTCTGTCGACTTAACTGCAATTCTCAAGTCCGTGACAAAGCTATCAAAATCCTGGCCTTCTTTTTGAACTATCGCGTTGACAACATAATAATATGTCTCAAAAATCATTTTTTTTAACGGGGCACAATGAGCTTCAAACTATTCTCTCATAGACTTCATTGAAGTTGTTCCAGCATTGGTCAGTGTAAAAGAAGATTACATGTATCCAATCCTTCCCCACCAATTATACTCCAAAATACAGCAACTTTTTTTGTTTCGTTCTTTCCATCCAAACCTGTGGCTATTTTAAATAGATCAAACATCTGGGTAAACCTTTTCCTATTGTCTGCTATATTGCCATGTAGACTCAGTGGTTCTGGAGGCTTAAATAACGTTTCCATGATTCCTCGTTGTACAAAAATTTCCAGGATTGAGTTCAATCTTTAATAATTTAGTATACCTGACACCATGTATTATTTAAACAAGTGACTGCTGTTTATTTTTCCATCATGTTAACTGTTACCAAGCTACATAAGACTGTTCAGTGACAGGACCTAATTTTACATTGCCAAAGGTTGAACGACGGTTTAATTCCAGCATCGTGACTCTTTATGCTACAGGAAATACTGAAGACGAAGGAAGATTTTTCTTAATTTAAAATATCGGGACCGGAACTGCTTTGTAATTTTCGGAATAAATCACTTGCCAAAATATTACAAGGAACTAATCAAGATTCCTCACAAAAAAAAGAGAGTTTGAATATGATGACTATAGGTATACCTAGTGTATTTATGTATTTCTCGGACGGTTTATGCTATCGACATAATATGGATAATATGGAAGATTTTTTTTTGGTCAAGTCTAACACGTTTTTGGAAACATTTGAGATCTGATCAAAATATAATAAAACAAAAATCGATTCTCTTCGGTAATCGGCAGCTTGCATCTCATCTACCTAAAACCCAACATTCCAGAATTAATGGCCAATAAATGTGGAAATTCGAAGCTGTTTAGAGCAAGCCCGATTTACGAAATTCTAAAATTAGGGCAGTTAAATCTTTGATGGTCAAAAATAAAATAGATTTGTCACTGACTAGAAGCGATTCAGATTTTAACATAAATTTCTTTGCTCCCGTTTCGAACACGATTAGTTTTATTGGATTTATACAAATTAATCAATTAATTTGTTAATGAATAGATTTGTTCCAGTTTTACATGTATTGGATTATAGGAATTTATTGGTTTCTATCGAACAAACCTAAAACAATGCCATAAATAAAGACATTTGTTATGGTCCTCTATATAATTTACGATCTTTAAAATCTCATCCCACTTGACGATGATAATCTCCCACGAGAATAAATTAATGTCTTTATGGATGATGTATGGCATTGAACATCGATTACATATGTCTTCAAATTTCGAATATTTTATGGGATATAATATATAACAGTGAAGAAAATAGATATTTTCTCTGGGGGCTCATTTCTCTTGGATAGACGAAGTAGGTAGTAGTATATTTTTAAACAAAGTAAAAAGCTTCAATATATTATATTATATTTGCAATTTCCGTTGAAATTTTCTTGCCAATAAAAATAGCTGGTTATTTAATTTATACCGAAATCATCGTTGAATGAAATTCGCAACATTGTAAATTCTCGGGCAAGGGTGACACCATACCTACAATTAATTATTTCTTTCACCAAGCTGGATAACAGTAATTAAATCATTTAATATCCACGCCAGCCGGGCTGACCTACACTTTAGATTATGAATATTTTTTCTTTATTACGCACACATGTGGGCTAATTTCAAAACCATATACCGGCCAAACCTACATGCCTATTCGTTTCGCGAACATTTGCTAAGATTGTTTTTGCAGAAATAATCTTACATTGTGGCCTGCGGCCTTCGTTTAGGCGCCACTGTAAATATGTAATGCTAATGCAAAGAATTTTTTTTATTGATGTCTTTGACATTTATTTTTTAATTAAAGGGGCTTGAATTAATGTTAAGAACATTTCTCTAGAAAATTAAGATTCTTGAGAAAAACATCTTCAAACTAAAAGACTCTTCTGTTCAATCTAACATTTCAAATGTCTTGAAGGTATTTTTTATAATACAAGTATCTTATGAAGTTTTGATGCCTAAACTTAAAATTTGGTAATAGTACCATTTCTAAATGGTTCAAGATTATTTAATGATAAAGGCATATGGTATAAGATTGGATTTATTATTATAAACAATAATTTTTTCTTATAGGTGTCGAATTGAGTTCTGAAGCCACCATTCACAATCAAAGACTAAACAAAAAAAGACACCATCATCATATCAAAAAACGTAAGTAAAATAAGTATAAGTCTATGAACCTACCAAACTAACAAAAGCTTATTTAGCTACTGTTGTAAAATGAATCTAGAAAAAAGGTTTTAATTTATAAAATCATCAGAAAAAAGTCTAGAGTTATTTTACAATTATTAAGACAGGGGTTTGAGCAGAAAAATTGAATGAATCTATATTTATAAAAAAAAAATTAACATTTTTTGAAAATCAATGTAATCATTTTTGGGATAATACGAATAGGTACTATAATACATATTTGTAGATTTTAACATTATGAAAGACAATCATTATGTAAATAAATTTAAGCAAATTATAAATACTGTGTGGATTAAAACAACTTATAAATGAATTTCAAGAACTCCTGAGACTGACTCCAGCAACTGGATAAGTGTAAATGGGCCTTTATTTGAATAGTGGAAGCATTGTGTGTCGCGTGGAAAAGTTAATGAAGGGAAGGTGCAAGTGGTATCGTTTTATCAGAAAAATGATGTAGCTCAATAATTTATATGGTGACACCGTCACAGATGTTGCGTTTGTTTGGAATGCGTCAAACAAGATGGACGCTATAGTAATATAAATAATGTGCCCTATAATATCGTCGCTGCTATTCAACCAATTTTAATTTTTTTTTAGCTTGTTAGAAGGGTAATGTAAAGAGGAAAACAACATATTTTTGAAAGTATTGCGAAAAAAAAAAATTTTGGTTGCTGGTTGGATTTGCAGTGAATACATTGAAAAATATTGTTGGTGTTACCCTATTTTTATCAAAAGAAAATATGGTCAACGTTATATTAGTTTATGTATTTAAAGATATTTAAGTAGGTAATATATTTGCACGTAAATTTTAATAAAATCACGGAGCAGATTCATCACTATCTCCGTCGGCAAAATCAGGTGTATACAAATTATCACAAGTTGGATGGTCCACATTACAACTACACATTTCTGAGCAAGGCATATTGTTTCCTAAACATTTACATGATGATGAACATCAATTTTTTTAGACACAAACATTTAATTAAATGAAGATATGACTCTGGAGCACATGGTTCTTCAAACATGACAGGGATAAGCACTCCCTCTTCGAAACACCAGCCGTATCTAACTGGATTAGGGATGACTGCATTTGGTTCATCATCTTTTGACTACTCAAATGCTTGAAGGTTAGCTCTCTTAATTGCGGATACAAGGGAACCTCTAGTGGGGGGTAACTTATCTCCAAGGGCTTGTTTCACAGTAAATATTGACCACTGTAATTCTGCAAGTGATCTTGTTGTAGTGCTTATTTTATAAACCCGGCAAATAAATATTTCCAGCTGATACAAAACATCATCAGGTATAGGTACTAATTCACTGATACCAAGTTTTTGCAAGGCAGTAACTTCTGCTTCACTCACTGAAATAAATGACTTGCACAGAAATGTGTAGTTGTAATGCGGACCATTCGACTTGTGATAATTTGTATCCACCTGATTTTGTCGACGGAGATAGTGATGGAGATTATAGTAATGAGGCCGATTTGTAGTTTTATTAAAATGTATGTGCAAATATATTAGCTAATTTCTTTTAGTTACCTAAACTAACATAACGTATACTGTTTTTGACTTTGAAACATAACCAATGCCGCTTATTGGTCGCAAGATGCCATTTGCACGATATGCATTGTAAAACTGATGCCAACCTGCAGGGTAACCTCATTTTGCGACCAATCAGGGCCAAGCGGTATTGTTTATGTTTCAAAGTTTTCAATGTCAAAATCCATCTTGGAAAAAAATACACCTTAAACCATATTTTCTTTTGTAAAAAAAAGGCAACCCCGAAGGTAACACCCAATGACATCTCATCTCAACACAGATAGACAACGCGTCTCATTCATATACTGATGTTTGTTGTGATGATAAGACCCCCCATGGGCCAGGAGAGGTAAACAGCTCGAAGGGAGTTATGGTGGGGATGCATCAGAGGTGTGAACAAGACCCGCCTTTCCGTCTGAACCCATCATTCTTTTGACCGAAATAATGAAGATATGCGCACGGGTGCAACTCGTTTACAACATATATCCGTCTCTGACTTATATGATATACATTTGATGGGTGCGTTAACATGCCAATCGATTGCAGCGCGTGTTCCGCTTGTTTCATAAAACCGGCGTTGCCAGTAGTCGTTTTTAGTCTTGGTAGCTTGAATTTTTGGAAAGCAAAGTCCTGACAGGATAAAACCAATCCGTAACAATTTGGCCACCTAATTGGAGGGGATAAACCAGAGGTGGATCCAAAAACATATTGTTTTTCTCTTTACATTATCTTCCTAACAAGCTAAGAAAAATTTAAATTAGTTGTATAGTCCAACAAATACCATTTTGAAGTCACGTGATTTTTCTCTATCCTTGTTGAATACATCTCAAACAGCGGTGATAGCAAAATTGACAAAAAAATTGGTGTCTAATTATTGTTCATAATATTCTTACCTGAAATAGAATCCGTCACTGTCCTCAATTAGTTTGTCAAAGTTATTATGGAAAATGATACAACGAACAAACACAGGTAATAATTTTGACTATATTAACCTTTTTCCAACTCGAAAAGAAGCAAATAGAAATCGGGTACCCAATTTAAGTTCAGAATGTATTCCAATGGACAGCAGATGCGACAAAAGTGAGTCTCACAACAATTACAAGTATTAAAATTCCCATCTGATTGGCCAATACTACTTCAGAAACGCGTTTCTAAAATGCTATTGGGAACATATCTTAAAATTCAATAGTAATTAACCACTAGTAGCTTTTTGTAGGTGATATCAACGACATAATCAATGGACATACGTTTTTTGCCACCAATATCACGTGATTTTAAAATGGTATTTGTCGGACTATATAACAGCGACGATAGGGCACATTGTTCATATTGCTAAGGCGGCCATCTTCTTTGCCCCAAACAAACGTAATATCGGTGACGGTGTCACCACACAAATTTTTGAACTACATCATTTTTCTGATAAAATGACACCACTTGCACCTTCCCTTCATAAAGATTGCCACGGGGAGCTATTTTTGTACATTGTGCTCCCGAACTAGAAGCAAAATTCCCCAAGCTTGGAAAAATACTCACTGTTCAATTCTGGAACAGGAAAGTACAAGTTCTTTCCTGTCCTCATCAGCGTCGTTATGAAAAACTTTTTCCAGGGAACTTTTCTGATTGAAATATTCACTATTCAGGGTGAAATTCTTCCCGGATAACAAAAAAATAGTAAAACACTTATAACCCTTTATAATATCAAAAAATTTTATTTTAAAAGCAGAAATAACTTCTCAACCAAAACTTAGTGATCATAGTTGGATTGTTGTAGAAAGGGAAAATTTAGAAATATCTAAAGAATCTGAAATAGTATATTATTTAACGAGCGTATAATCAATACGTATAATGTAGGCTATATTACATGAGTCACAGGCGTAATGTAATTTAGCCATTATACGCGAGTCAAATACTACGCTTTATCTACGACTAGTAGAAAATTAGTATATTATGCAATGATCATTAATACACGAGCATGTTGTAGGTTACGAAACGAGCCGCAGGCGAGTTTTGTATATCACATGCGAGTGTATTAATGGCCATTACATGAGAGTTACAATAGTTGCATACACTTTTTTTTTCTGCTGCTAATAAACGAAATACATATTTATTTATTAACTTCTCAACTGGTGACAATTGTTGACAACTATTGACAATTTCGAAAATTAAGATCTATGGTTTATTTTTTTCCAAGATAGATTTTGGCATTGTCAACTTTGAAACATAAACAATGCTGCTAATGCCGCTTATTGGTCGCTATTGTAAAACTGATGTCAACCTGCAGAAACACCTCATTTTGCGACCAGTCAGAGTCTTGGGTCTTGGGAAAAAATAAAGTGTAGACGTCATTTGGGCATAAATTCCGCACCCGATTTATCAATTTTTGGTTTTTTCTTTTGGTAAATACTGAAAGAAATAATCCAAAACAAGTCTTTTATTATTATACAAACATTATTCATGTTCAAAATAAGTCGATTCCAGTGGCTGAAAAATCTGTAGCATAATGAAGTTCAATATGAAACAGATTTTAATCGTTTAATAGCGTATTATGAAACGTCAGTAGAAAATTTAGTATACATTGCAAGCTCTTAAGAAATGCCTATCAGTTGAAAAACTATGGATACCAATTTGTATGGCAGAGAGGAGGAACAGTATTAGCAAAGATCAATGAAGGGACAAATGCTATCCGAATCAAGTCGGAGGAGCAGGTGACTGAAATGATCAGCAATGCAACAATGTAGGAGGACAGGGTAGACAAATGAATGTGGGTTTACATTGCATAAATGGAGCCAGGTGGGATCCTGGACAATTTTTTAATTTGTGATTGTAATTACTGTGATGATATATCTAACATAAAGTTTTCCGTAAGTGACCTAAATATAATTCATATAAATATCTGTAGTCTATATAAAAATTTTAATAATCTAATAGCGTACCTAGGCTCATTCGAAGGTGATTTTGATGCGATAGGAATCTCAGAAACAAACTCAATAAATAGTTTGCAAAATGTGCAAATACCTGGTTATGATGCCTTTTATAATGCGAGCCAAATAAATAAATGTGATGGGTTTGTGATATACGTTAAGTCTGAATATGTTAGGGACTCCACAATTTATATTGTTGGTAACTTTAAATTTCAAAGAGTAATCTTAAATAAAAATAACTTAGAAATAGGGTTAACAGGAACTTATAGGCTACCATCTATAAATAAAAGGGACTTTGTAATGGATCTCAACAGTCTTTTTTCTGAAAAAATTACAAAAAAATATGCCATGGAAGTCTTCCTGGGTGACATCAATATAAATATAAGTGAGACTGGAAGCCCTGTGGTTGTTGAGTATTTGAATTGCCTTCATTCTTTTGGTTTTTATAGCGCAGTAGACAAGCCTACCAGAGAAAGACATGGTCAGCTTCCATCAATTATAG